TGGGTGATCAAAGTTTTACATAGGAATACATAGGAAAAATCTTTAAAAATTTTCTACTCAAGAACAAAGCCATAATTGGTCATATTTAAATGGAAGCATCCTCAGGTAATGTAGATTCAAATTTGTGCAATTCATGCCCCCCCCCCCCTCCCTGAACCACTTTTATATTTAAACTTTTCAACCTTTCAAGACTGAACTGATTTCTGCTTTTTCCTAGCCATAGTGCTCAGGTGAGCGATGTGGCCCCTGGGCCTCTTGTTATATTTTACTGACTAAAGACGATAAGGGCCAACTAACAACTAAACGAGACGACTTAGGCTTTTCCATTGTCAACTTTCCTTATTTGTGTAGTAATATTCCACAATCACCTGCATATGGCGTTTATATCTTCCGTCTTATACAATACTCAAGACAATGCTCTGAGGCTTTAAACCGAGGCAGGCTTATGACAAATAAGTTGAGTTTACGGGGATTTCAACAACCTCGTTAAGTGTCAGCATTTCGCAAATTCTATGGTCGCTATAAAATGACTTTGTTTGCAAATATAACTTATCAATGTGTGTTTTTTATTACATGTTTCATACCAATTGCAATCTAATTAAAATTAGATGTTCCGAATCCGCTACCGCTTCTCAAACATCTAACAACATCCCATTCTTTTTTTACTGCCAAACCTAAACGCCCGAGGGTTTCGTAGTAAACAAAATTTGCATGGTAAAGATCGTGCTATATATGAATGTGACGTGCGGGATATATAGTAGTTTGTACATTTTCGTTTGCGTTATTCAGGTAAGAATGCCAGACTGGCGGACTATAGTTCAATTTATACCAAAATTACTTTAATTCATCGTAAGACAGTCTACTGAGCATCAATAATGTAAAGAAGTAGCCGTGGAACTAATTTTAGAATGGTATACAGAAGGTTGAATCTGATTGGCCAAAATTTTTATGTTTATTCATAATCGAAAGGTCGCTCTGACGTGACCCCGAATGGTTTGAGAAGCGGTAGCGGATTCGGAACATCTAATTTTAATTAGATTGATACCAATTGCTAAGCCATTGCTTTTAAAACTAAATTTCACTACAAATTATTCTATCTACCTGATAAATATTAAGGGCTAACGACAGGTGCGAATGGTCGACAGGGGATGTTTACTGCTCCTAGGCACCTGATCCCACTTCTGGAATTTCCAGGGCTCTTGTTTCTCTGCCCTGTTCACAGATTAGTATTGCTTGTATTGGGTAATATTATTACTGAATTCCCTAAAAACAATGTGTTAAACTTAAAGGGACACCCGATGTAGAAGAAAAGAGTTGTAGTTGCATAGCGTGACCAGCCGTCTCAGTTCTATAAAAAGCAATTTCAGCTTGGGAGGTGGTGAGGGGGACATCATACTTAAATTCTTGACAAGCAAAAAAAGGTCATCGGAGGGAGTTTTGAGAGGGCACATCCATAAATTTGCTTTGTTTTATTTAGTAAAGTACTTATATATTGGCAAATTTCTGTCCCCTCCCCCTTTTCTTTGGACCCCTGTCTCCTTGCCGATCTGCATGTTTATACCTGTATCTTTATATACATGTACTTGATGAGAACAAAGCAAAATTCAAAAAAAAGTTATTGTGTTCTGTATCATCAAATATCTTCGAGACTTTCTTTTACTTACAAACATTTCTCTCTGAGAACCATCATTTATATACCAGTAGAATCTTTTCCCAGTCGCAAAGTTGCGGATGGGGAGTAAAATTTGTCGTCGATGATAGTTGGTTTACATAAATCGAAGCATCTTTTCTCTATTTTATTTTAATGATTTTTCACTTGGACTAGAAAGTGTTCAGATCGGAAAATATTATATTTTTAGAAATACTACACTGTAAAAAATAAGTGTTTTAAAAATAAACACCAAATTGCCACAGATAATAAACACTTTAACACGTTTAAAATTTAAACACTTCGTGAAGTGTTTAAGAAATAAACACGTTAGAATGTTTAAATTCTAAACACATGAGTTTAATATTTAAATATTTCTTTCTCATTCTGTTTAAATACTAAACACCTCAAAAACACAAAACGTTTAAAGATTAAACACTGAATAAACACAAGTAGTTTACTAAATAAACACCGTACGTGTTTACAATTTAAACATTTCATGTTTTATTAATAAACACGTTCAACCTAAACACTTAAACACTTAAACATGTTTATTCGATGCAACAGATAATAATCACTTAAACATGTTTATACGTCATTTTTTAAACACTTCAACATGTTTAATTTACAAAATAAATAAACACTGATACGTGTTTATAAGTTTTCAACATTTTTATTTGAAACAAACATAAAACAGTACAAAACACACTGTGCTTGATGATGAACATGTACATAAAGCTTAATTAATAAATGATTTAATGTTGAATAGAGATTCAAACTTTATAAACAATTTATCAACACATTTGCTAACACACACATGTAGATACATAATTCAATTCAAGTTGAAAGATAGAATTATCAAAAAAAAAACTAGCATGAACATTTAAAACCTGCATGTGAACTAAAATTCAATAAAATTGGTGGCCGGGGGGGGGGGGGTGAAATAGAAAAATCGCTTATTAAAATGAAATATTATTTTTCAGGAATAAAATTTTGAAACTTTATTTTAAAAAAGGGACAGGGCAGGGCGTCCATTACATCTTTTTTAATAAAACAAAAAAATTCATAATTAAATATAATGCACAAAGACTGAAAATGTATTTTTATTGCCTGGGTACGGGATATATACATTGTGTATGTGTTGCAGTTAATAAATCCAGTTGTAACTGTATAATTTTACTTTCACTAATATTCAGAGTTTTAACCAAATGAAGAAAATTTCCAGTTTTTACCTGTAAACGACTAATTCATTAAATATTCTTGCAACTTCACAAGAGCTGCCGGGGTGTCACTCACTAAATTTCATATAATATTCTAAGCGAGTTAAACAGTCTCCTCTGCTTGTGTGTAAAATTCAGGTTCTTCTGCCACGGATGATGATCTCCTGTTTTCCATTCTTCAAAATTTTATTCAACCTTAGTATTTCTAATTCCTCCTTCTTATCAGAAATATCCTGAAAAATAGATAGATAAAAAATATTCACTATGCAAATTCAGAAAATTATCTGTAAAAGAATACGTTGAGATAAAAAAAAATTGTTATCCTTCACACCAACTTAAATTACACTGTATGAATGTACCTGCAGGAGCAACCCAACAGCAACAATTAAGAGAAGGGGGAGGGGGGCTACCAAAGGCATTTTCTATCATGTAAACAACACTCCCCAAAAATGTAAAGTCTCCTTAAAGAATACATGCGCGGGTAGGGGATGAAAAGTGTTGTTAACGCTTATGTGTTAAGTTATGTTTGGTCAGCAAATAATCATAATAATGCGTGATAGGCAGCATAAATTTTATCAAGGGCAGGTAATTGGATAACATTTACTTAAATTTCATGTTACTGGGAGACCCAAAACTAGTGTAGGCTAGAAACAATGATGTTTGTGTTTGTGTGTGTGTGAGGGTGTGTGTGTGTGTGTAAGGGGGTGACCCTTTTTCTTTGAAATGCCCTTTAAACTCACCTCTCAAGGTTAAGTGTGATCTTCGTTTAAAATCACTTTCCTTTATCAAGTAATGTATTCTTCTCAGGATTCACAATAAGAGATGAACGTCCCTGCAAATTAATTAGATATCGCAATATACTTAAAGACTACAAATAATTTATGCCGACCGCTGCACATGGCCGCATTTGCACTCAGACGATAGGCCTAACAATCCTGCATTTCATAAATGAAAAGCAGTATAAATCTCTAATGTATTAAGCATTCAATTTTTTTCAGATTTTATATAAAGAAATGTATAAATACCTCCTGTTTCCTTGTTAGATATGGTGTTTTTGCCAGTATATGCGTGATTCTGCATCTTCTGCGTTCAAATGGCATGTTATGACATAATCAATTGCGTCATTTTCTATCATAACGCATTAAACACAGGTGTTTAATTTGCAATTTCTATATATATACCATGTGTTTAATTTATAAATATATGGTGGTTAAGAAATGAACACTCATTTTAAACACCGGTGATTAAAATATTGATAAAATTATAAAAGTCATCATAATATATGTTTCTCTTTCCCCTTTAACAGTTTATGAAATTTATGAATTTTTGGCACAAAATTACCATAAATTAATGTTAATTGTAATTGCTTTTGGTATGATCTAAAGTCAACGTATTGCCTAGCTATTCGTATTTTTTCTGTGTCGAAAAATACCTACTAGTATGTACGGAAATACTTCATAGATTAAGAATTGTACAAATGGCAAATGCACACAGCAATACTGAGAAGCAACACCTAATTTAATTTTTTGATTTGATGCATATGAACATTGTGTGTTTAAGATGGATGATTAAACACCCTACTTATTGAACACCAATTTAAATAGTCGTGTTTATATGTTAAACGCTAATGTTTTGTATTTAAACCCACCATGTTTAATTGTAAAACACGACTGTTTAAAAATTAAACACAAGTTAAACATCATTTTTTACAGTGTAAACCTTCATAAATATCAGTATTAATTTTCACATGAAATACACATGAAGGGCACTTGGTTGCATTCCAAGCATTATTTCCCCGCCTTTCTAACAAAAATAGAATTTACAGGGGAGTTTCAGCTTGTATTTAACATATCGCCTCGTCTTCGTGGATTAAGAAAGGAAATGGACTGATTCGACACGAACTTCCCCTCGGTTCTAATTAAACTAATTTACTCTATCCCCTTTAAACTTTGTCTAAGAACTAGTGTTGACACTAAATGCTTTCATCCATGTAAAGTTGATGACATACATGAAATACAACACAGGTCAGAGGGTTTTAATTAACTGGACAATGCCTTTACCGAACTGTGTTTAGATTAATGTCACTCCAGTTTAATCACATTGATTAATTTTTCTGATCTTTTTCTTTATAGACTGAAGGAGCGGTGTGTATTCCATTACCTAAAAAGTATGGTGACATGGCCATTTGTTTTGACTCTGACTCGATGAGTGAATCTGGGACTGTAGAAACTTCCACGGGCAATGAATCTCATAGGGGAGATCATCCAGTGTATTTCAAACTCATCAATACTGATGATTCTCAAACAGCTGACAAAAGGGGGTTCGATTCAATAGCGTATGGGTCTTCCCTTAATCGGTTTAACAAGAAAAGATCGTTTGATTCCATAGGCTACAAAGGAAATTCATTCCATCGCTTCAGAAAAAGGTTCCCTTTTGATTCCATAGCCTATCAAGCTGGACGGTTTGGTAAATTTAATGCTAAAAGGATTCCATATATGTACAATAACTATCGATACGGAACACACGGCTTGTTTGCTAAGAAGAAGACTTTTGATTCCATCGCACACGACACAGGGTCCTTCGGAGGTTTCTCTAAAAGGACCCTGGATTCCATATATAATCAACAAGGTGGGTTCGGGGGATTTTCAAAGAAGTCTTTCGATTCCATCGCACATGGTGCCGGCCACTTTGGGCGTTTCTCTAAACGATCCGTAGATTCTACCATTGTCAATCATGAAAAGCAATTATCAAGGGCAAAAAGATCGTTTGACTCCATTGCACATTCAGGAAAGTTTGGAATATTCTCAAAGCGCAGACCATTTGACTCTGTGGGCCATGTTTCGGGTTACTTTGGGGGATTTTCTAAGAGATACGGCATGGATTCCATTGCCCATGGGTCTGCCAGATTTGGAGGATTTGCAAAACGGCGTTTTGATTCTATTGCTAATAAAGCGGGGTCGTTTTCTCGTTTTACAAAGAAAAAAACTGACGAAAATTCAAAAAGGACATAAAGTCATAGGACTTGATTGAAAAAAGCTGAAGTTCTTGGTGAATTTTTGTGGACAGGGGATCATTATTTAATGTAAAAATTCAGAAACATCATCTAGTGTAGATTTCATCTGGTCAATTTTAATCGTCATCAAGTTCTTGTCTTATTTTAATACATGTAGATGCATTTCATATCCTTTCAATTTTAGAGTTTAAAATTCAATATGTCATACATGTACTAATAGATAAAACATTTTATCAAATCTGACTGTATTTTAACTTTATTTATGCGTACTCGGTATTATTTGGTACCATGTTAAAATATATAGATATTACATAAGATCATTCGATAGTGACCGTAGTTATCTTCTGGTATTGCTAAAATAATTGTTAACAATTACAGCAAGACAAATTCTATATTAATATTTGCAATGTATTACCTGATTACTGTAATAACTATACACGTTTTGTTTTAGTTTGCTAGACCTAGGTAACGTAATAAGCAAGTGCCCCAAATGATGACATAACATTTGGTGAGGACATTTTGCATATAAGACGATTCATTTATATTCCTTTCATACGGATACATGTAATGGGTGATAGGTACAACAATATTTTTTTTAATTATTATTTTGGATGTCCAGTGATTTACAGAGCAACATACATGTATGTAATTGTTTATATGAAATCCATCTCTTCTCTTTGTCTGATTTGCGCTCATATGAGGAGCATAATTTCACTGAGTGAACAAATTCTTGAAGTATTGACAGCGATGCCTTTTGAAGCAGACTACTTTAATTTATGTATATTTAAAAATCACATGTACATGTGCTTTCCATGAAGCAGTTACATAACAGGTACGGTTATGTGCTGTTGAGCTTGACGAAACTGACTGGTAGCAATTCTAAGTCATGAAGCCAAAAATACTGGAATCATTTTCAGTGAGTCGGGATAATCTTAGAACTAAATAGTAAATACTGAAGAAAGGAATGATACAGATCTGAAGAACAGAATTAAGGAAACAGAAAGGAAATGTAAAGTATTGCGTTTGTAGAGCTAATGATGAACATTTGGGAATCTATTCTAGATTTTTTTTTAACACTGTATTAATACATGTGTGTACATATACATGTATTTTCAAATTGAACAGCTGTATTCCAATACAACTGAAGCAGTGCCCTCTAACTTAACGTTAGGATACTAAAGTTGAAATGTTCTGAAGGCAACATTGAAGCTGTCTTGACAACAGCCTGTGTGTTTTATATACCCCATTGAAAAGTGGCCGGGGGGGGGGGGTTAATAATGATGTCCGTCCGTCGTCCTCCTTTTACACTTGGGGGTAGCCATCCCCTTACCCTCATCACCTCATACACCATTAAAACTTTTCACAGAACATTTATAAAATAATGTCATTTTGACTTTCACATTAATATATTAAAAAATTAATATGAAATTGGAAGTTAGAATTAAAAATTTGGAAAAACAAGAAGTTGGAATAAAAAAATACAAAATGAAAACATTTAAAAGAACTGTGGTACTGCATAATACCCCTCCATAGTTTCTCATTATCAAAATTCGACAAATATGTAGACTTTACATTTGTAGACTTGTGAATTGACTATGGTTTTATTCAGAGCGCGGCAATATAGATACCCCAAAACAAAGTTTACAACATCAAAAATACACACATTACTGTAGTATAAACTAAAAATCAATACAGTTAATTGTATTTTCAGAACTACATGCTAGGATTACCTACTTACATGTACATATGTAGACGATTGCAAAGCTTACAAGTCTGGATTTTTGAACAGGATTACCCTTCATAGTAAATAGGGCTGCGCCATAATATCGATACTCCGGTATACTGCAATTCGTTAACAAAAAATATCGTATTGCAATACGTTTTTCCAGTACCGATATACCGGCAAAATGATTGGGCTTTTGATTTTTTGAAGTAAAATATGGAATTTAAGTTGCCAGAAACACTTTCAATCGTGCCAAACGCGGTAAAGGTTTCTGTTGTATGGTTGCATTTCGTTGCCAAACTGTAGTAAAATCAACTAGAACTTTTTTGTTACAACGTATTTATAAAAGTTTTATAAACTCTGTTTATAAATGGAGGCTAATAGAATAAGAAAAGAGCATTTTAACTGATATTAAAAATATTGCAATACATATCGCAATACAGTTCTTAATATCGCAATATATCGCAATACGAAATTTCCAACCGATACCCAGCCGTAATAGTAAACAAAGGTAGTGACTGTTCCTTCGACAAGCGCCCCGTATTTGAAGTGAAATCCATGGGTTTTTCGGATGAGACCTTGAAAACCCAATCTGATTAAAATCAGATCCTCGATCCCTCGTGTAGCGACAATAAAATAAAACAAAGGAGCGGATCGAAGATCTGATTTTACTCAGATTGTTAAAAATCGAGGTACCGTGTCACGGTAGGCGTTGGCACGATAAAGAACCCCACTGCTCAATGGACCTGAGCTCCGAGTATAGATCTAGATTTGAAGCCCTTTACCGGTATATATATATAAGGGAAAAATTTTTGAATGGGACGTAAAACTATATACAATCATTCAATCAAATCTATCATTGGTATGAGCTCAGTATGTCATATATACCGGGGAAATACATTACATCTTTGAAAATCTTCTTCTCTATTCTCATGGACATTTAGCAGGCAATATATTTCCAAAGTAAATGCTAAGCCCTTCATTAAATTGTGAAATTCGTGACCCAGGGTTCAAACTCCAGGGCGAGTCTAAGTTGATCATATACCATATCTTATGATATCTTTTTTTTTTAGTCATGCACATTGGTCATAAATTGAATACATTACACATTTGAAAATCTTTTTCTTTAATCATGAACATCTAGCTGAGAAATTGTTTCCATGACCATATTTAACACATAGCACTCTATCAGAATTGTAAAATTCCTGCCCTTGGCCCATGATTCAGACCTGAGGGTGGGGCTAAGTTGGTCATGCATTGAAAGTTCATAATCTTTGAAAATCTTCATCATTTACTCATGGACTTCTAGCAATCAAATTGTTTTCATGATTATAATGAGAAGCTAGCCCTCTAAAACAATATAAATTCCATGACCCCTGGATCAACGGATCAGTCCCCAGGATGGGGCTAAATGGTCATATATTGAAGCATATTATATAGTAAACCTTATCTTTTTTACTCCTGAACTTTAGGTTACAAAGTGCATGAATATAATAATGGTTACAGAGGCCTCACCGAACTGTAAAAATTATTTGTTGCATGAGCCCACAATAAATGGGGCCAAAGTGGTCATAGCTTGAGAAATGTATGATACTCAGCTGACCTTCGTAGCCCATGGGCCTCTTGTATAATTTTGAAGGTGGAGAGACAGATCAATCTAAATATTTGAAATAGATGAACTACAGTACTGATTTAAAAAATGTATTTTAAATCATATTAAAAAAAGAGAATTGTACCAGCCCCTCCCCCCAACCTCCCAAGAAAAATATGATACTCTACTATGATTTTACTGAATAACCCACTACTGTGACATGCGGAAGTATGCATGGTCTTTAAGAAAAGTTTGGGTATTAAGAATTTGGACTACTTATCACAATATCAATTTTACCAAATAGCATTGTACATTCTATCTCGCTTTTAAGTTTCTTTTCTTATCTCTTTGCATTGCCTTTATCTGTGTGTTGGTTTACATCTCAAAAAGTCGTGGCCGGAGTACAATGGAACTTTAGGAAAAGATGTGCAATAGCGCATGACTAGTTTATATACCTCATTTTAATTATATACCAGAACAAAACCTGGACAAAGCATCATCATGATCCATCATTTCACTCTACTTCGCATTTTACAATTTCATACCTTTATCGTTTATGAAAAATCTTTGCATAGGACAAGCGCATAATTTTCAATCGACCTAAAACTACACGTCTACAAATATAAGTAATCTCATGTCCTACATTGTCCATGGTTCAGGCCATAGGATGTGGGTTAGTTGGTGAGGTATACACCTTCCTCTTGGACATTAAGTAGACAGAGGGTTTGCCTGATTACAATGAGTATTTAACCTTTTACCCAAGCTCTTACCATATTCATGTTCCTAGGTCCAGCTTATGATGTGGACTAATGGTCACATATTGAAAATAGATTATACATCTTTGAAATATTCTCCTTTGTTCATCAGCTCATGGGCTTCTAGCAGCTACAATGTTCGAGTGGTTACAATGGGTCAGTAGACTTAGCCCTCTACCCAAAAATGTGGAATTCATTTCTCCTGAATTCAGAGTTCAACTTCATAGGTGGGACTGAGTTGAAAATACATTACACGTTTGAACACCTTCTTTACGCTTGAACATTTACCAGATAAACTGTATGCATGATTATATAACCAGCTAGTCTATACATAGATTTTGAAATTCAGGTCCTAGGGTTGAGCTCAGTTGGTCAAATATTGAAAATGTATTTTACAGTGTACATTTGAACATTTCATTTATTCCTGGACATTTAAGAAGCAGTCTTGATGCATGGTAGCTATAAATAGAGAATAACAGAGAATAATACATGGAAAATATGCATACCAATACCAGCCCGAGACTCCAATATCGGCCCGAGGGCCGATGGTTGTTTTCATTATGTATTTGAAAATACTTTCTAAAAATCATATATAAAAAAGACGTTAATGGTAATCTAACAACAAAGTTTTATGATAAACGTGATGACTTTAATGGTATTAAAAAGAATATGTTATTCTGACATGAGTTTTTTTCTCATCAAGAATCATTTATTTGATAACACTACCTAGCTATAGTGCATGTTGAATAAATCCTTAAGAGTCGTTTTATGTAAGTTGTTAAACTTTAATGGCATACAATTATGATTTTTTTAATTTATTTTTTTTTTTAAGAAAACTTAAAAAACTGTTTGCAAAATTTAAAAAAAAAATGCAACAAATAAAAGCTCAATGTAACGTTAAATATCTAATAAAACACGTCAAGATGAGTATGATAGGCATTTTGTCTTTTTATTAAAATTATTCATGAAAATAAAGCACGTTTTTTATTAATATGTATATTCAACCTATACATGTATACTAGTATATAATTCGTAGGGAAAGTAAGTCTCGGAGAACTGACACTGGAGTATGACAGGTTCTCTGCCCTTGATTCCAGTCACTGCCGCTGTTTTTTTTAGGTAGACTGGTATTGCCTGTCTCTATCGTTCGAAAGAGACAGGTGACTACCGCCAT